TTAATTGAATAAACAAACAATTCCTAAAATCAACCATCTCTTTTCCAGATTCAACAAGAAATTGGAGTACAAAAACAAAAATACTTTCTACCCTGTTGCTGCCGGAGAACAAAAATACTTTCAGAAGGTCATTTGCCTTCAATTCCTTTTTTGCTACTGTCGATGGCGCAATTGCATCTAAAAAATTCAAGGAACCGATGATTAGAAAGAGACCCAACAAAAAAGAGAGAGATTTTTTCGATTTCTTTGGGTAGATAGAGCTTACCGTCCTCGGTCCCTTCTCTTCGATGGAGATGATGAATTGCAGTGGAGTCGGAGGATTCGGAGGAGTGGATGGAGATGAGAGGCGATGGAGAAGGAATCGGAGAAGAGGCAAAGGCAAAAGGGGCGGGGGCAAAGGCAAAGAGGAGGGGGGCTGGGATTAATAAAACAGCGTCGTTTTGGGTTAGGACTCCAAATTTTTTTTGGGAGTCAGGACTGATGGCTACTTTCTTGATATGTATATATCGGTGTCTTTCAGTACTATTCTCAAAATGTAAACCTTGAGTAGATATTGAGTGACGTAAACTCTTGAGTAGATATTGAGATGACACTCAATATCTACCAAAGAGTTTACGTTTTGAGAATAGTATTGAATCGATTTTTAGATTTTAGATTCAATTGTTTGACTTAAACCTTAAATGTTTGGGTGAGTTGATCGGAGTTTTGAACTCCCTCATCATTGTGAACTTTATTATCATTGTAAACTCCATCAAAAAGTGATTTAGTTATCACACATTTCAAATTCATACTAATTTTTTAACTATTATTTTTGTAAAAAAAAAAAAAAAAAGAGATGACACTAATTATGAGATGACACTTGCGTCCTTTTTTGTTTGGTTTGGCCAGCATATAGCCGCCTTTTCTCCAAGGATTGCTACGTGTAATGAATTGCGTGGCTTAAGACAATGGAGAGAGGAAAACGAAGGTTTCTTTTTTTTTTAATTGTATATTAATAACAATTTGAAGATCTTTAATATGTAATTTTTATTAAATAATTTTATTTATAAAAGTAAAATTTAAATTATTATTTATATTTTATAAAA